ATATATATATATATCCACTCGAATATTCAGTATATATATATATATATATATCCACACACACACACATACATACATACACACACACCATATTAAAGGCTGCGTTATGTGTATATGTTTTACAAGCATTACTCAAAATATTCTTTATTATTCACGTTCGCTTTATCGATGTAAATATATAAGCGTTTACAAGAAGTCGTGTATATATGGGTTGACAAGAAAGTAATTGCGTTTTTTTCAAAGACATCTATCAGTAAAAATTACTTTCTTACCAACCAATATAAATATATCTTGATAGAGTAAAGTTTCAGCTTGAAAAATCTCTTGTTTAAATTACGATACGATAATTTTTAATGGAGTTATGAGCAATTAAAGTCAAAATAATTCTTTTATTTAATCCGCGATAACTCAGTAACCAAAAATCGTAGAAATATTTAAAAAAAACGATTTTGTAGGGAAAATATCAAGCTTTCACGATAGGTAATCGAAAGTTTTCTCAAATTCGTTTTGGACACGTTACAAATCCACAAAGTGAGAAGAAAATTTTTCGTCTTTTTCAGCTCATAGTTTTTGGTACGTAAAAATTACCAAACTCATATAAACTTAAAAAATGTGATAAGCTTTTAAAAGTAGAGATTTCAAGCTTTAAAACCCTTTTTTTAAATTTGAATTTCATTCATTATTGACGAAGATATTGTATATACAACTTTGAGCTAAAAAAAACGCAATCACTTTCTTGCCCACCCAATAATTAATATAATGACCAAGGCAACTTTTTTTATAATTTATTGCAAATGCAACTTAATTGCATGCTTATCTAAATGTTGCATAATCGCATAAATGCAGCATACCTATCTTGTTATACATATGCTGCTGGTCATTATATTAATTATATACACGACTTCTTATGAACGCTTATATATTTACATCGATAAGGCGAACGCATGAATAATAAAGAATATTTTGAGTAATGCTTGTAAAATATATACACATAACGCTTAGGCATTCAACCAAACAAAAAACGCAGCCTTTAACATGGTAAGTTTGATCTGAAATAAAAGTTAAACATTGATACGTCAAATAACTGAAATTATATTTCTTTTGTAATAAAATACCTACAGAGCATCAGAGGAAAATTATATTATTCCGCGAGTGTTAGTGCTGCAATCGCACGTGTTACTGTAATTAGATGGTTATCGATGTCAGGATCACGATGTATCACAGGTGAGACTACGGCTACGTTCGCTTTGACGCTTATAGCGCTTGTGAGCATCAATTGTCCTTGTTTAATATTTAATAAACAACAAGAATGAAACGACGCTTAAAACGTGAGCACCAAAGCGAACCTAGCCTACATTTTTAATTGTTTCATATTCATATATATTGTATCGATGCACATAGGCGCGTTATTAACGATCTTATTCTTTTTCCATCACGCAGTAATGTAAACGTATTTCTGCAACATATATATTGTCTATATAATACAATAATATATATTTCATTTCTTAGCATATCAATTTGTAATATATTATAAAAGAAACATTCTTTAGATCTTAGATATATTTATATTATATATGGGTCGTTATCTTTTAAATCAAATGCGATCCAATTAACACTCATAAGACTATCAACGCGCTTACGGTCAGTCCACATTGAATGCAAAAAGTGCAAGCAACACGAACAGACTTGATAATCTGGAATTGGATCGGTGTGAGCATTTATATCAATTTGCGCGGGAAAAAGAAGACCAATATAAACCTTCTTAGAAAACGACGTTAATATAAATTGCTTATAAGATACTATTAAAAATACAGTCTTATAGAAGTTTAGTTTATATAATTGTTAAAATTTGAACGAAACCATAATACATCAATTTTATAATTTATTATCCTGAGATTTCTATCATATATGTAGTAACGTAAGTACTGTGAGTGTA